CCTGACCCAGAGGCCATGAATTTAACAACTTTGGAAGAAATACTAGTATCCTTGCTCATCACAATGCACATACATGTGGTTAAGCTTTTGATATAATTATATACATGAAAAAATATGGTTAAAGAATTTATCTCTTATGCATGAAAAAATATGGTTCAAGAATATATCTCTTATTCCAAAAATGTTCAAATGTTTGTCTAATATTTTGATCCTAATACGCCACAACTGTGGCATGATAAGATCAGTACATTGGCCCGTATAAACCAATGTACTGTGGCAAGATTTGACCAGTATGTTGGCCCTTAGCTGTAGAACTGTAGGTCTCCGAAAAATTTATTTTGACAGACCGGTCTGTCAAATTTTGTTTTCGGAGAGTACAGTTCTGCAGCTAGTTGGCCCCAATAAACCACTAAGTACTGAGGTTTATAAGACCAGTATGTTGGCCCCAATAGACTAATAAGTACTGGAATATAATAAGACCAGGGAGTATGTCCAAATAAACCACTACTAGATCCTGATTAAACCAGTAAATTTGCCCCGAATAAACCACTACTGTGACCTGACTAGACCAGTATGTTGGTCCCAAAACAACCAATACTGAGGCCAGATTAGACCAGTATGTTGTCCCCAAGAAACCACAACTGGGGCCTGGTTAGACCAGGATGTTGCCCCCAATAAACCATTCCTTGGGCCTGATTAGACCAGTATGTTGTCCCCAACAAACCATTCCTTGGGCCTGATTAGACCTGTATGTTGTGCCCAATAAACCACTACTGGGGCCTGATTAGACCAGGATGTTGTCCCCAATAAACCACTACTGAGGCCTAATTAGACCAGGATGTTGTCCCCAATAAACCACTACTGGGACCTGATTAGACCAGGATGTTGTCCCCAATAAACCACTACTGGGACCTGATTAGACCAGGATGTTGTCCCCAATAAACCACTACTGGGGCCTGATTAGACCAGGATGTTGTCCCCAATAAACCACTTCTGGGGCCTGATTAGACCAGTATGTTGTCCCCAATAAACCACTACTGGGGCCTGATTAAACCAGGATTTTGTCCCAATTAACTACTATTGAGGCCTGATAAGACCAGATATTGTCCCCAATAAACCACTACCGGGGTCTGGTTAGACAAGGATGTTGTTGCTAATAGACCACTACTGGGGCCTAATTAGACCAGTTTGTTGTTCCCAATAAACCATTTAGTACTGGGGAATCATTGGACAAGGATGTTGTCCCAATAAACTACTGTTAGGGCCTGATTAGACCAGGATGTTATGTCCAATAAATCGCTACTGTGGCCTAATTAGACAAGGATGTTGTCCCCAATAAACCACTACTGGGGCCTGATAAGACCAGGATTCTGTTCCTAAAAAATCATTACTGGAGCCTGATTAGACCAGTATGTTGTTCCTAATAGACCATTGCTGGGGCCTGATTAGACCAATATAATATCCCCAAGAAACCACTACTGGGGTCTGATTAGACCAGGATGTTGTTCCTAAGAAACCATTACTGGCGCCTGATTAGACCAGTATGTTGTCCCAAAGAAACCATTACTGGGGCTTGATAAGACCAGGATGTTGTTCCTAATAAACCATTACTGAGGCCTGATTAGACCAACATGTTGTCCCCAAGAAACCACTACTGGTGTCTGATTAGACCAGGATGTTGTTCCCCAATCAACCACTACTGAGGCCTGATAGGACCGAAATGTTGTGCCCAATAAACCACTACTGGGGCCTGATTAGACCAGGATGTTGTCCCCAATAAACCACTACTGGGGCCTGATTAGACCAGGATGTTGTCCCCAATAAACCACTTCTGGGGCCTGATTAGACCAGTATGTTGTCCCCAATAAACCACTACTGGGGCCTGATTAAACCAGGATTTTGTCCCAATTAACTACTATTGAGGCCTGATAAGACCAGATATTGTCCCCAATAAACCACCACCGGGGTCTGGTTAGACAAGGATGTTGTCCCTAATAAACCACTACTGGGGTCTGATAAGACCAGTATGTTGTTCCAATAAACTACTATTGGGGCCTGATACGACCAGAATGTTGTGCCCGATAAACCACTACTGGGGCCTGATTAGACCAGGATCTTGTTCCTAATAAACCATTACTGGGGCCTGAAAAGACCAGGATGTTGTCCCGATAAACTACTATTGGAGCCTAATTAGACCAGGATGTTGTGTCCAACGAACCACTACTAGGGCCTGATTAGATCAGTATGTGTCCCCAAGAAACCACTACTGGGGCCTGATTAGACCAGGATGTTGTCCCCAATAAACCACTACTGAGGCCTGATTAGATCAGGATGTTGTCCCCAATAACCCACTACTGGGGTCTGATTAGACCAGTATGTTGTCCCCAATAAACCACTACTGGGGCCTAATTAGACCAGGATGTTGTCCCCAATAAACCACTACTGAGGCCTGATTAGATCAGGATGTTGTCCCCAATAAACAACTACTGGGGTCTGATTAGACCAGTATGTTGTCCCCAATAAACCACTAAGTACTGGGGTATAATTGGATAGGATGTTGTTCCCAGAAAAACACTACTAGGGCCTGATTAAACCAGGATGTTGGCCCAAATTAACTAATATTGGGGCCTGATATGACCAGGATGTTGTTTGCAATACACGACTACTGGGGCCTGATTAGGTCAGGATGTTGTCCCTAAGAAACCACTAAGCACTGGGGTATAATTGGACAAGGATGTTGTCCCCAAAAAACCACTACTAGGACCTGATTAGACAAGGATTTTGGCCCAAATAAACTTATATTGGGTCTGATTAGATTAGGATGTTGTCCCCAATACACTACTATTGGGGCCTAATTAGATCAGAATGTTGTCCCGAATAAACCACTACTGTGACCTGACTAGGCAAGTACGTTGTCCCCAATGCACTATTAGTACTACTTGGGCCTAATTAGACTAGTACGTTGTCCCAAATAAACCACTACTGGAGCCTGATAGGACCAGGTTGTTGTCCCGAATAAACAACTACTGGGGCCTGATAAGACCAGTATGCTGTCCCCTATACACCACTACTGGGACCTGATATGACCATGATGTTGTCCCAACACACTGCTTTTGGCACCTAATTAAACAAGGATGTTGTCCCAAATAAACCACTACAAGGGTTTATTAGACCAGGATGTTGTCTCCGATAAATCACTATTGGGGCCTGAAGACCAGGATGTTGTCCCAAATAAACCACTACTGGGGTCTGATTAGACCAGGATGTCCCAAATAAACTAAAATTGGGGCCTGATTAGAACAGGATGTTGTCCCCAATTCACAACTTCTGGAGCCTAATAGGACCGGGATGTTGTCCCCAATACACCACTACTGGGACCTGATATGACAAGGATGTTGTCCCAATACACTACTTTTGGCACCTGATTAGACCAGGATGTTGTCCCAAATAAACCACTACTGGGGCCTGATTAGACCATTATGTTGGCCCGAATAAACTAAAATTGGGGGCTGATAGGACCAAGATGCTGTCCCTAATACACTACTTTTGGCACCTGACTAGACCAGGATGTTGTCCCAAATAAACCACTACTGGGGCCTGATTAGACCATTATGTTGGCCCGAATAAACTAAAATTGGGGCTGATAGGACCAAGATGCTGTCCCTAATACACTACTATTGGGGCCTGATTAGACCAGGATGTTGTTCTCAATAAACCACTACTGGGGCCTGATTAGATCAGGATGTTGTCCCTAATAAACAACTACTGGGGCCTGACTAGACCAGGGTGTCATCCCCAATACACAACTAGTACTACTTAGGCTTAATTTGACTAGTTTTTTGTCCCAAATAAACCACTACAGGGGCCTGATTAGACTAGGATGTTGTCCCTATCACACCACTACTGGAACCTGATAGGACCAGGATGTTGTCCCCAATAAACCACTACTGGGGCCTGATTAAACCAGGATGTTGTCCCCAATAAACCACTACTGGGACCTGATTAGACCAGGATGTTGTCTCAATACACAGCTTTTGGCACCTGATTAGACCAGGATGTTTCCCGAATAAACCACTACTAGGGTTTATAAGACCAGGATATTGTCTCCAATAAATCACTATTGGGGCCTAATAAGACCAGGATGTTGTTCCCAATAAACCACTACTGGGCCTGATTAGACCAGGATGTCGTCCCCAACAAAGCACTACTGGGGCCTGATTAGACAAGGATGTTATCCCTAATAAACTACTAAGTACTGGGGTATAATTAGACCAGGATGCTGTCACCAATGAACCACTACTTGGGCCTGATAAGACCAGGATGTTGTGCTTAATAAACAACTACTAGGGTTTGATAGAGAGGTCAGCAGGGGATGCTCACTCCTCCATGGCACATGATCCCACCTCTGATGTTTTGAACGTCTGTGTTTGCTCTGCTCCTGTTTTGTATTGTTTAATGGACTTTTGATCAGGAATAATATTCGTTATCACCATATGTTTCACCAGTATGTCGGTCCCTAATAAACCACTACTGCGGCCTGATGAGACCAGGAAGGTCCCAATAAACCATTACTGGGGCCTGATCAGACCAGTATGTTGTCCCCAATAAACCACTTCTTGGGTCTGATTAGACCAGTATGTTGTGCCCAATAAACCATTACTGGGGCCTGATTAGACCAGTATGTTGTGCCCAATAAACCACTACTGGGGCCTGATTAGACCAGGATGTTGTTCCTAATAAACCATTACTGGGGCTTAATTAGACCAGAATGTTGACCCCAATAATTCACTACTGGGATTTGAATTGAGCAGCATGTTTGCCTCATTTAAAGCACTACTGGGGCCTGATTCGACCAGGATATTGTCCCCAATAAACCACTACTGTGGCCTATTTAGAACAGGATGTTGGTTCCTCCAATAAACCAATACTGGGGCAAGATCTGGTCAAATTTTCAAATTAAGATGAAAAGAAACAATTTCAAATAGAACACTTCAGCACAGTAACATCAGTACTTAATCTATTCTCACACATTCATTACAAAACAATAACAATACAACTTAATTCAAACATCTTCATCTAAAATGAACATAAAATGTCATATCTCAAATTCAAAAGACAAAAAAGAAATGTGATATTATCTTGACAGTGATAAACAAAGTTAATTTGATAATGTCATGATGGTAGAACATTAAATTTTGTTTTTTAATTAATTTGGTTGTTTTTAAAAAGCCAACATAATCAAAAAAATAATAATAATGATATGTGAAACGACAGCAAATATCTCTAACACACTTATATGTGTGCAATATATATGTTATACTGATTTGTGCATAGGCTATAAGGTAAACTCTTGATCACACATAAATACTTGAAGGGAGACTTTTTTTTCGTTTTGATTGAACATATTCATAGAGAGAAATCAAAAGCATATGTACATTTGCTTTCTAATTTTAACCAGGCCATGAAGATACACTCAAAATACCGTTTTACAATTTATTATCTTTCTAAAAGACCACCACACTTCCGAGTTGTTATAACCCTCTGTTTCGTTTTACACACTTTATGCTAAAGAAAGTATACACCACTTTTCCATATCAGATATTGTAGAAATAGTTGAGACATGTCGATCTTGAGTTCAATTTTTTTTCATCTTTAATACTGACAGAATATGCATTAAAAAATATTTTCCAGGAAAACAGGGTGGATCTGTACTATAAATACTTAAGATAAGTAATCCAATGTCTGTCTTTCCATTTTTCATTTGCAAATCTTAATTTGATCAGAAGTTTGGGGTTTTTTATCATAAATTTCGAAACAAAGAATAATGATGCAACACATCTACTCCTCTTGAAATTGAGGATTATTTGAAGCTATCATACTGTAGGATTTTGAAATAAATTCATTACAGGACACCCCACACACGTATGTCCCAAAGGTCACATAAAGTTTTTTTAATATACATGTACTGTATTTGCACATAGACTTTTGAAGGAATTACATTACATTACCAATAGCAAAATAATAATTAAGCACAAATGGAAAAAGTATAGGGGTGAATCTTGAATTTTCTTTTTTAAGGAACAAAAAACATAAATGATAAACATTAACACAGAAATAATAAACATTAACAAAGGAATTAAAAGGAACAGACACTATATCACAAGTAGCTTTATATTCACAAAAATTGTAATATCTAAGGGAGAAATGGAGAAGGGAAAGATATAATTTAATTTGTGATATTCCTAAGTATGCATCAATGCCAATTCATTGCAGGAAAAAGTTAACACACCCTTTGAATGTCCAGTTTCAGAAACTTCTGAAACTTAAAAAATCACATGACCACAAAGAAGGTTGTATTTGATGCTTCTTAGCATAAATTTTCTATTTCAATTTTTCAGAATTTCCACTGAGACTTAAAATCAAAATACGATAAACCATACTAAATCAAAAATATGACACATGATAGTAAATGACAATATGATACATGTCAGTATAATGGGCATACATATAAGTGTTCTAATTTACAAAGTTTGCGAAAAAAGCTTTACACTGAATAAAATTGAGAAATACATTATTAAATACTATGCTAACTTATTGCAAAAAAAAAATCTTAATGGCACATCACAACTCAAGCAAGTAGGGCAAAAAAGTATGTCAAACAACCTCCTTATCAGTAGCATAAGGAAATCGATTTAATCAAGCTGTGATTACCTAATTTCTGAAAATTTAAAAAAATACAAATTATTTTGAAAAGATTTCGTGTTCATTGGGTGAAAGATTATATAGCAGTTACATGTGTTGAGTACAATCATTTTCAATGATGAAAATACACCCTTATGTACATAAGCACACACTTATGTGTCAATCACATCATCTTGGGTCTTTCCCTCAGAGGTCCGAAAAACAAACTCCAATATATTTAAATCACCATATGGTATAAATTTATAAAACATGGAGTTGCTTCCTATTTATTAAAGTATTGGATAGACGGAGTTGAAAGTCCCTTCTATGGTATATTTTACGTGATATCTTTACATTCAATGAAGTTAATACTCCCTAGATAAGAGGTCTTCTCATATTTATTTCTAAATTCACAAAAAGGGGGGTTGTCATGGACACCTACGTAATACATTCAAGGTTGTTTTTCTGCTTGTCTGAAAGGCCTGAGAAGTTGCGATTGACTTGTGTGTTTGAGAAGTGCATTCAATAACATATGAAATAGAGAGTACATAAAATAATAATGAGCAACAAAAAAAGAGGACCCACCTGCTACCTGAGGCCTTCCAAAGCACTTCGAAATGCCTCTGGAAACAGAATATAAGAGGATTCAACAAGGGCAGGAAATAATTCTCAAACTTTCCACAAAAAACGTGGAATATATATGATATGAGGACAGTTACTACATAAAATAAAAAAAAAAATTTACATAAAATAGATGTGTATTTAAGTCAGCTTAGAAATCTTTGCAAACAAAATAAATCTGATACCCAATTGGTTGAAAAAAAAAAATATGGATAAGAAACATCATTAAAGGGCTTTTGTTATGAAAATTACATTTCATATCATGAAATTTCATTGGAAAACCTCTTACCTTAAACCAAATGAATTAAGTCAACTTTAAAATTAATTCAGTTCATTCTTACAAGAAACTATTACTGATAAAGACATTTGTTGTAGTAAGAAAATTGCTGGAATGTGTATTGACTTAAATATCTTAATATTGCAACATGCAAAACTAGCAAAAAATACAAAAAGCACACAAAACTGAACAGTAAACAAGAAGAAATAAATAAAAGAGCACTTTAGAATCAGCAATATTACAGGGAAAATAGTCTGTGTCCTGTATACAGATGATATCCAAACAACAGCTTATCAACTTAGCCTATTACCCATATTCCTCTGACATATCGAAAATTTGTATACTGTTAAGTATAATATAAAATCACAGCTTGTTTCATAGTTAATTAATCTATAAAAATCACAATAGCTCAACTCTAGGCAGAAAATCTTTTAGATTATTCAGTATTTGTTGATAATAAAAAGACACTGTAAATGTCAAAAGTTCTTTTGCAGTACAGCAAGTGAAAAAGCTATAGAAAAAGTTTAATCATTTCAATATACATGTATTGAAGTTGAACCAATATATCAATTGATCTGGATTTCAAAGCTATAAATGTTATGCTTGACGAGGAAAAACTTTGAGTAGCTTGTGCAGCAACATTTCTAAAGTTCAGAAGCTAATGCCCTTCCTGTCTCTGTTGAAACCAAGTCCACTCTGGTTAAACACCATGGAGGCCAAGCTAGCGTAGCTCTCAATCAATATAGGACCCTCAACAATTGTGATTTTCTCACTTGGTCGTTTCTCCTTGTAGCTGTTACTGATGCATTGTATCAGAGACTCGTAAAAATCATCCACGTTGTAAATGGTGGTCTCATATTCCTTGGGGTTATAGAGCAGGGGGTGGTGGGCGAGGTTGATCCAGGGGATAGACTCACACCAGGGGTTCCACAGCTGAGCCCAGGACGGCTCCTGTCCATGACTCCACTTAACCTGGATCCCCCCATGTTGTCTCATTCTGTAAGAAATTCACTCTTTTCAGCAGGTTTGAATACAGATCAAAAGTCTACTTTTCTTCTGTCTGAATGAATCGTACACAAATGTGATTATTCAACATTATCAAATGATATTTCATAATTACCAGTCATTGCTTTGCTAAACACATAATGTTTATTGCATACAAGATGGAAACATCAAGATTCACGATTACTGTAATAACTTACGGCATCAGACTTTTGGGTGGATAAACAAAGTCTCCCACACAAATAGTGTCAATTAAATGAAGCATGACTCTTTTGTAATCTTCCATCTTATGAAGAATGAAGTCATATTTGTAGATGAGCATACAGTTTTTGGTCAGAATGATTAAACGCTCCCTCTCGTTATCCCAATGGTCAATACTGAAAACAACAATAAATACATATTAATTATTCATAAAAATTTTATGAAAATCACACTCACAGATTTTTTTTCTGTTTTACTCAGCAAAAGAAAGAGTGCATGAGCGGCAATTTAAGTTGCACTTTGTGAATGAGTAATCATATCCTGTGGTGTGGTTTTGCTATCAATTGACAGGAAATTTCACCTATGTTTTTACCTTACAATAAAATGACACAGATTCTATTAATTTTATAATTGTCTGTTATTATGAAAAGCTTAAACTTACAGAGTTAGCAGCCAAGCCCCTACAAACTCGCCATCAATGTCATCTTTCAATGTCTTTTTACATGCTTCAAGTGCTTTGTTAAAGTTCTCTTCCTGTTAAAATATTGATGTCAAACATAATTTGGACTGTAAACTGCATCTTTTTTTTCAAATTCAATTGTCAAAATATTAAGTCATTTTCCAACAGGTCCAGTACAATCAATAGATTTAGCTTAGTACGTAGAATTACCTACGTATTTACCTACCTCAAGCAGCTTTATTTAGCTATTTCAATGCAACTTTTCAAACTTTTTCTTTTTATTAAAAAGAGACAAAAAATCGCAAATAAATGACTATTAATATTTATACTAGGAAGCTTTTTAAAAAAACAATCTAAAGCCAGGGCTCTCGATTCTCTAGAATTGGGGCCGTTCAACGGCCCAGTTCCCAATGCAAAAAAGGTACCTTTTTTCCCAAAAGAAAGGTGTAAATCTCCCAATTTCCATCCAGAGTAAAATATTAATTAAAAAATAAAAGTCCATCAAACCTAATCGCAAAAAAAAAAAAAACCCAAACAAAACACATTTGCAAATGAAAGTGAAACTGTACTACTATTTTATTAGTTCGCGCCAAATGCATTTGTAAACTGGTTCGGGGAACCAGGTTATTGTTTTTACAAAAATGTATACAACTATGAGTGCAGAGTATCTTGTTATGTAGTTTCGACAAAAACCAGCATTTTGGTTCCAAAATAGACATTTCATTTAAACATTAGTAAGGTGCACTTAGAAACATACCCGCGCTTCGGCATGTTCAGTCTCGCGCTGTATTGGTAAGCAAAGTTGCCCGTGTGATCGAGGAAATTCAGGACTATGTGACTAGCGACTGTCACGCAGTAAGACATATAACCACAATATCAACACTCAAAGATAGTAATGACAAAGCTAATGTACTTTCATAAATAGCCTACGTACCCATGTTTGTTCTGTTTAACTGTTTATTCAAACCAGAGTTAGCATTGATGATAAAATGCTAGAAAAGCAAAATTTGAGGATTTTTTTTAATGAATTTGTGTTATCCAACTTTTCCCAAAATGACGATAATTTTCCCAATTTGAACGGCCCCGGCCCCAGTCCCAAAAAGTGGTGTGAGAGCCCTGAAAGCAGAGATACATTGCTGCGTTTGGAGAATTTAGAGCAAAACATGTAATTCCATTGTTTGGGTAACTGTCCACTAACTTGCGTGCGTTGAGGCATGGCTGAGTATTATTACTTCACATTCTGCTGAATTATGAGCGAATAATTATCCACCTTTTATCATGTTAACCAAAACTGGTCTTCTTTGTCAGTTCATTCAAGGAGTAACTGTTCTAACTGTCATATATCATGTATATAGCCGCAACATTCTCAGAACTTTAATTGCAGTTGCGCAGAAAAAGACTTTTCTTCAAGAGTGATTTTTTCATAAATTGTTTTCAGATTAATTCAAAGTTGAAAATGATCACTACATCAAAATGAGATTTTCTGCACACCCTGAGAAAAATGTTTTTTTATAGAAATAAACTGATTTGGTCGCTAAATAAAGCTACCTCAGGTATGTAGGTAAATTAAGCTACGTAGCTAAATCTAGTGATTGTACCAGACCTGTCCAAAACATGTCAAGTGCTAAAATTTGCTACAATAGAAAAACTGATTAAACAAGTTTAATGTCTAAAAACCTTGTAGCTGAAGAACGTGTCAGCCTCATTATCGCCTTTGATCACCCCTGGACGGACGGAGGTGCGGCTAGTCGTGCTTCGGATACTCTGTCTTCCATATACACTTCCGGGGCGATTTCTGTCAAAGTTAGACTTGGGTCCTGTAAATTCAACACCAGGCTCATGTCCTGTTTGGTTGTCAACGCCATCAATTTGCAGAGTTGCTCCTGAAAACGTTTTTTGCTCGTCATCTGATAGTGTTGTATTTTGCGTCTCGGTGTTCGTCGCCATCTTGAATGTGTTTACGATCATCTAAGGGAGTTATTTCCCTTTGAGGTGTGAGACTACGAGCCCGATATAAAAAAAATCCTGTCCTAATCGAACACCGCTTATGGAATCTCACTAGGCAACAGAAATATCATTATGTTCTCCTTCGTTTCACTCACCCGAACATAAATTATACCATCTTCTTCAATTTTCCTCAATACAATTTATTTTCTCCATCTGGAATCAATGAGTCTATACTGCTCTGATTTTTGCAAATAGATAATAAAATATTTCTATTCTAAAAATTATAAGAGAATAAGTAACAGAAAACAAATGTGTTGTGCGTCTACCGACCAGCGATGCACTGTGATTTAATTGACCAATAGGTGCTTGGAGAGCCCCCCCCCCCCCTCCTGTGTTCCATACCCCAAGGTATGGCACGCCAAATTCACAAAACACCCATTCTCAATATAAGGGCTCAAATGATGTCGCCTCATTTTCATTTAAAAGAAATACCACTGATGTAATTTTTAAATCAACATTATAAATAGTCATATAACAATGAATAAGAATTCATATAATTATCGATCTGAAAGGGTATTTCAGGAGTTCCAAATTCAAATATAGTAGCCTATTTGAAATGTACGTTACTGTCGCCGAGGCAAATATTATTCTGAATCCCCTCTGTGTAATATATAGTTTTGATTCTCAAGTAAAAATTTTCTGATAAGTTAAACCTTGTATCATATATATTTCTTTTCATAACAATAAATACATTTTCTTTGTGATAATAAATAATTTTTATTGTGCAATGTCCCTGTCGCTTAATTCCATTTCAACCACATTACAAGCAAACACAAAGATTATACACCTGATAGTTTTGTTCTCCTTTATTTATTGATGGGCTAAATTTGAAATTTCAAAGGATTAATTACTCCTACTTAGATAATGTAACATGAAATTGAACAACTTGAGCAACTTTTATAAATATGTTTACGGAATGAAAGACATTTTCAATCGTAGAGATAAGAAAGAAATGTACGTTACCTATATTCTTCCATTAAGAATACATATTAAGTAGAAAACATGAGACGACTCTGAATAAGCAACCCCTTGTATCCTCTAAACTGGCAAAGACGTTTTGCTTAACACAATTAAAAATTATTTTTTACATGAAAAGCGATCATTTGAAATGTACGTGACTGAAATGTACGTTACCATGAAATTCGAATTAAGTGAATCTCGCACGAATTTTCATGTATTCTAATACTTTCACACACTCGAATGTGTACACAAAGGAAAGTTTCAAAGGTTGGAGGTCGGCTAGTTCCCAAAATTAATGAAAAGAAACGTCTCTGCTGAGGAAAAAAATATATTAAGGTCAATTATTATGTTATATAATTCTGATACCTGGTATATATTTCTGAATACGAAACCTGTATGATGCATTTCTTATGATATGCAGGTTAAAATAGTATCTATATATTGCGCGTCTAACGTATGCTTGTGGAAGAGAATTGATTTTTATATTTGAAATGTACGTTACGTATGGTAACGTACATTTTATGTATTTCTAACTGACATTTTTTTTAATTTAGTCAATGAATTGCGTTTACACGAGCGAAACAAAATTATCGTTACAATCCATTTGACAACTGGCCACATCTAAATGCACCCCAATCCTCGTAAATGTTTTAAACTGTTACCACATGCTAGAAAATTTATTTCTAAGTGTCTTAAATTCATCTTTGGCAACCTTTTTGCAGTTTGTTTACTTTTCATGTGCGACTTTTCGTCAATATTAATTGAATTGTTGTTGATAATTTAAAACAAGGTATGCATAGGCTTATAATTGGTAAAAAAAAAAAAAAAAAAAAAAAAAAAAAAAAAAAAAAAAAGAAAAGAACAAGAAACAAAACAAATAAACCCAAAACACAAGACGGTCACTTACATTTCAAATACTGAATATTCAGTTTTGTTTGAATCATTGCATTTTGGGTTATATTTTCCCAGATCTGCTGAAAAGCACGTATGTTTGTGTTTTGAAAAACGATGTTGCAACATACTAAATGAAATTGTTAACAAGACTGTCAATGGATATATTCGGAATAGATTTATGTTAAGTTTCAATGGCCAAACACGAGCATTTGTTAGATCATAGCAAAATACATCTGACTCTTATATTTTTTTGTCTGTAACCTTGCACACAGTTAGAAGTAACTAGGCTACGACCGGTGTCAATTTCAGCGAAACAGCACAAAAGAATGGTTATGAAATGAGGTGGAGGGGACTCCCCAATAATATGTGAAATGAACGTTACCGAAGTGACGTGACATTCATGTAGTTGATGACAATAACCTCGTTTGTTACATTATGATTTCTTATATTACTGCGTTAAAACTCTTCATTGATATGATTTTTATGTCAATAATTGCTTTTTTTTCAATATTTTCTTATTACTAATATACATATTATTACAAGCTTGAAATGTACGTTACCTACTCATATTCTGAGGCAAACGTGTCTTTATAGTGGTGATTGTGACATATAACACAATGTGATTACATAGAGAATCTTTTTTGGAATAAACTGAAACAAAACGATGAATTATTAGATGAATTTTAGATGAATTTTTTTGTATTAAACAGAAATATATCTTGAAATGTACGTTACATTTACATAGGATTATTATTATTATTATTATGTTTATTCAGGCAAAGAGTCAAATTCATTACAAATCATAACACAAATTACATTCCAAAATTAATTAGGGATCGCTTAAAAGTTCTAGCGCATATACATGTAGCTATCACATTAAAACAATATACACTCCAGGTATAATCACAGTTATCAATATCACAGGATTATACAGATCTAGGATGTGATCTTATCACATACAACACAAATAAACATCTTTTTAATCATTCTTTGCCTAGGATAGCCCATGAAAGCAATATATAAAACATGCTTATTTCCAATGGGGTCCTAAGATGGTACAAGTTGATTATAATTTAATTGACTAAGACAGCATAGAAAAAAATAAAAAAATAAAATTGAGGATTACATAATTTTCCTAGCCTGAATAAAATAATTTGACATATATATACATATTCACAGTTTCAGGTTATATACAAATTATTTTAAAAAGTTTCATTCCCTTGTAAAAATATTATATATAAATACTTTCTTCCATCCTTCGAGGATAACACAATGTGATTACATAGAGAATCTTTTTTGGAATAAACTGAAACAAAACGATGAATTATTAGATGAATTTTAGATGAATTTTAAGCTTTGTATTAAACAGAAATATATCTTGAAATGTACGTTACATTTACATAGTTTTCTAAATCGGCATGGATATATGTTAAAAAAGACAGTAACTACAAAATAGAATTTTACTACATGTACATGTTAGGTTCCAGTATCTATTAAAAATGACAAGATTCCAAACTGATCGCTCTTAACAAAACAGAGAGAAGAATTTAAAGCATATATTCAAAAAATGTTTTTACACATCTGGATCAAAAAGTAACCTTTGTTTTTTTAAAGGAAAAATCAAACATGCATTTCGTATGCCGAGAAAATATGTTGCTGACAGAGTTGGTAGGATGTGCTGGTGTTAAGATGAGATATTCCAATTGTGATTTTAATGACTACATTTTTTTTTACATATATTTTTGGACATTGAAGAACAAAGAGGAGGTACATTTCAAGCTACATTAATCTGAATAAAATTACCCTCTACTTTATCGTATTGTCATTATTTCATGTATTATAATTTGATGAAAAAAATCTGGAAACAAAATCTTCAGATACTTTCTTTCAAAGGTAATTGATAGAAAAATTGTTATCTTGAACTTCATTTTTTAAAAAATCAGAGAGGCATTTGTGCCCTTATAAAAAGAATGGGTGAAAACATGAGTTAATCATAGTTTCACAATTTGCTGACTGTTGATCATTAACCTCTTTTATCGCCTAGTTGTTTTAAAATATAGTTTACGGCTTAACAAATTATAACAAATATGGTATAATTAATATTTTTACATCTGTAAACCATACATAACGCGATAATTCTATGATAGTCACAAGCGTAAACTATACTTACATGTATTTCGAAAACAATCATTTTGCAATTGCAAAACATATATATGGCACGCCAAATTCACAAAAATGAATGTTAAACCTATCTTGACAATTGATAAACTAGGTTTATCAGATATAAACACTATAGTTTCCGGACTGTAAACTATTAATTAACAACGTTAATCTATATTTTACATCTGTAAACTATAGTTAACGCGATAATCTGTTTCACAACCGTGAACTATATTTAACACCGAGCATGAACTATCATTTGCGATTGCAAAACATAAATTATCTGATATAATTTTCAATAAAAATTATATAACTATAGTTTACAAAACCGTTATATATCATGTTTAATTTAGATACATTATAGTTTTTTGTTTTTCACTATGAATCTTGATTAACAACTCTTAACTAAAGTTTACCTTCTTAGTTTTGCATTTTTGTATTTTTCGAGTTTTTCGAGTTTTCTATTTTCTGTTACATAGGCTCTCCCCCTACAAATGTGAATCTACGTTTATCAACAAAATCTATTGTTAACGTTTATTACAGACAGGCTCCAAGACCTGGATCATTTGCGTAAACTTTTTGGGGCAAGGTTAAATATAGTTTTACTATATGAAAAATCAAAGAAATTAAAAGAGAGAGTTAAGAAAGTTTAACGAAATCGTTATTCAAAGCACTTTTTAGATATGTCCTTCCTTGCAAAGGCTTAGTTTACTTGATAGTTTAGACTTTTTCAGATAAAACTGTTATGTTCATTGCTTTTTTATCCAATTGCTAAACTTTTAAAGATTTTGGAATTTGTAAAGCGGATCTCTCACACCTGAATTTTTGTGATGTTTATAAAGTTTTTGACAGTTTTTCAATTTTTTTCAATTTCTTTTTTTCATTGTTTTTACCCTTTGATATTATATATCTTTTCAGATATTGAAGAGGATCCAACCAGCTATTCTCAAGAAAATGCTGTTT